AACCAGTGGTGGCCCGTATAACCCATGTGACAACCAGTGGTGGCCTGTGTGACCCACATGACAACCAGTGGTGGCCCGTATAACCCATGTGACAACCAGTGGTGGCCTGTGTGACCCACATGACAACCAGTGGTGGCCCGTATAACCCACATTACAACCAGTGGTGGCCTGTGTGACCCACATGACAACCAGTGGTGGCCCGTATAACCCACGTTACAACCAGTGGTGGCCTGTGTGACCCACATGACAACCAGTGGTGGCCCAGTATAACCCATGTGGCCCGTACAACCACCAGTGGTGGCCTGTGTGACCCACATGACAACCAGTGGTGGCCCGTGTGACAACCAGTAACCTATGTGACAACCAGTGGTGGTCCAGTGAGACCCACATGACAACCAGTGGTGGCCCGTGATAACCCATGAGACCCACATGACAACCAGTGGTAGCCCGTATAACCCATGTGACAACCAGTGGTGGCCCGTGTGTGACCCACATTACAACCAGTGGTACAACCCACGTTACAACCAGTGGTGGCCTGTGTGACCCACATGACAACCAGTGGTGGCCCGTATAACCCACGTTACAACCAGTGGTATAACCCATGTGACAACCAGTGGTGGCCTGTGTGACTCACATGACAACCAGTGGTGGCCCGTATAACCCACGTTACAACCAGTGGTGGCCTGTGTGACCCACATGACAACCAGTGGTGGCCTGTGTGACCCACATGACAACCAGTGGTGGCCCATATAACCCACGTTACAACCAGTGGTATAACTAACCCATGTTACAACCAGTGGTGGCCTGTGTGACCCACGTTACAACCAGTGGTATAACCATGTTACCAGTGGTGGCCTGTGTGGCAACAGTGTGGTGGCCTGTGTGACCACGTTACAACCAGTGATATAACCCACGTTACAACCAGTGGTGGCCTGTGTGATCCACATGACAACCAGTGGTGGCCCGTATAACCCACGTTACAACCAGTGGTATAACCCATGTGACAACCAGTGGTGGCCTGTGTGACCCACATGACAACCAGTGGTAGCCCGTATAACCCACGTTACAACCAGTGGTATAACCCACATGACAACCAGTGGTGGCCCGTATAACCCATGAGACAACCAGTGGTGGCCCGTATAACCCATGTTACAACCAGTGGTGGCCTGTGTGACCCATGTGACAACCAGTGGTAGCCCGTATAACCCATGTGACAACCAGTGGTGGCCTGTGTGACTCACATGACAACCAGTGGTGGCCCGTATAACCCATGTGACAACCAGTGGTGGCCTGTGTGACTCACATGACAACCAGTGGTGGCCCGTATAACCCACGTTACAACCAGTGGTGGCCTGTGTGACCCACCTGACAACCAGTGGTGGCACGTGTAACCCACGTTAGAACCAGTGGTATAACCCATGTTACAACCAGTGGTGGCCTGTGTGACCCACGTTACAACCAGTGGTATAACCCACGTTACAACCAGTGGTGGCCTGTGTGACCCACATGACAACCAATGGTGGCCCGTATAACCCATGTTACAACCAGTGATATAACCCAGGTTACAACCAGTGGTGGCCTGTGTGACCCACATGACAACCAGTGGTGGCCCGTATAACCCACGTTACAACCAGTGGTATAACCCATGTGACGACCAGTGGTGGCCTGTGTGACCCACGTTACAACCAATGGTGGCCTGTGTGACCCACGTTACAACCAGTGGTATAACCCATGTGACAACCATTGGTTGCCTCTGTGACACACGTTACTACCAGTGGTATAACCCACGTTACAACCATTGGTTGCCTGTGTGACCCACGTTACAACCAGTGGTGGCCTGTGTGACCCGAGTTACAACCAATGGTGGCCTGTGTGACCCGAGTTACAACCAATGGTGGCCTGTGTGACCACTAGACATGCCTTGTGTACATGCATGCTGATGCCTATTTAGCAGGTTGACTGATACCAGGCGAGCCTGACAGATAAAGCCAGAACAGTATAATTAAATTGTACATGCATGGCTGTATAGATTAGGAACTGTATATAATCTCAAACTGAAAGAAATCAAGTGCACTGAAATATAAGGTTAGAGTGCACTGGGTATATTTCTACTTGTAGCTGTGAAGAAGTCAATAAAAAAGGGTCCTGGCAGACTAGGGCTAAATAAATTAGGATTGTGGCTGCTGTATAACTGATAGAAGTTGTGAGCTGTTGGTGGTCACTCAGTATTTGGTCGTACTCTCTGGATAAAAGCTAAGAGTCTTTTAATAACACACTCATCCTTGATAAGGAACTAGGAAGGTGGGTACTCAACAAATAGAAGGATTTGAAGGATGTATCCACACTGTTTTCAGATTTCAGTTGTTCTTTCTTTTTCATTTATCAATTAGTCCACTGATTTTCCCAAAATATTGTTGTCAATAATGTATAGCTCAATATTTTAAATCAGTAAGGCCACTTTAAGTTTTCGGAATCCAAGGAGATTGCAAAAATGGTACATGCCAAGGACATCAATTCCTATGCCAAAGAAAAAACGATGACAACTGGGTGTTTTCCATTAGATCATTTATCAACTTTCATATCTTGGATATATCAGTGCTCCATGCTGCTTGATCTAACACCATGTAAACTGCCTTTTTATACCACGTGCCATTTGCCTGTCGTAGATAAGGGCAGGCATGATAGATATGGTCCATTGATGAAGTCATTACATTTGGCCAGAACAGGTGAAGCCATGCGATCTGTTTCAATTAACAAGGCAGTGTTCCTTGAACAGACATAATAGAGCTGAGGACTACTCTGACCTCCGAACATGTTGAGATGACTCTATTAAGGTACGTAAGTGTGGATCCCTGCGAGTCTTGGTAACCTGGCTCATGTCTACCCAGCAATGGCCGTCATCATTTATTGACAACTGGGCGTTACTGGAATGAAGCCGTAGATGACGGATCTGGTCTTAGGGATGTGAACAGCCTGTCATGCTGTCATGTGAAATGTATATGAATTATTTTGTGATTATGTGTGATATTTTGTGGGTGCGTGTTAGTTCACGGTGGTAGATGTTGCAGAATGTTGCCACTGAAAGGGGTGTTGTCATGTAATCTCATTTTACATGGAAAGGGTGATGTTAAAGTTTAATTGTTGTCAGCAATAAGATCTTCAATCAATGTTAGCCTTTAGGCTTTGTACTAACGCCCGGTGGTTTGAAATTAGGTTATTTAATGTACAAGTATGATGTTATTTCAGGTTAAGTTGACCAATTTTGTTGTTATTTTCATTTGTTTATTGATTTAATTGAGCCGGGAATCTGAAGTAAGAAACATTGTTTGAATTGAATTCTATTTGACCCTCCACTATCTCAATCTTTTACAAAATTACAATTTCAAAATTGAAAATGTAACTTCGGTTTATAAATAAATAATCAAATGTAAAGAACAAAAAATATGTATTTCAGTTATATTTTGACCAATCAAAACTAATTAGTCAGTATAAATTAATGTCTGCTGGAACATGTCCTAAACACAATAACTCGGTGCGCCTAGTGGCTGCAAGAGTTGTATACTCCCCAGGGAGTTGAGATTGATAATACGATGTGCCGTTGAGATTGACATCCAATGATTGAGGGGAAAAATACCAGCGCCTTGAGCATGCACTAGTTGCCTGGATATATGCCCTATATAAATATCCTATAATAATAAATAAATAAATAAAAAAACACCTTGTTTTGTGAGTGGCCCAGTGGTCCATGCACCTCACATGTTGTCAAGCCAGGATGATCATGGTTCAAATCAAAAGTTATGATCCTTGGTTTGTCTCCATCATACTCATGCTCATTGGTGTCTCCAAGGTAATTAATGTCTTAGAATTGTGCCCATTACGCTTTGATCCACATTACACATAATTCAACTAAAATATTCTCAAAACGATGTTAAACTTAATTCAGTGACTTTAACGAAATTAAAAATACTTTGATGCATACACCAGATCAAGAGATAGGAGGCAGGTGGTGTGTATGTTTTTTATGTGAACTACAGTGTCTCATGATAGTCTTCAACATGTACACTATACATTCAACACTTTGTGACAAACCGACATTCTATGTATTTATGCCTAAGGCTAACATGCAATAAACATCATTTGTAAAAATATATGTTCCACACAAAAGAGTTAAACAACATCTGATTTTTTAACATGACTGTTCTTTATCCATCATGGCCATGACAGAATATTTATACTATTCACACTTTGCGTAGGATCAAATCATGGATTCAACACAAAACTATGATGGGGGTTCTAATTTGGTTCAAATATCTTAGCTTATTGTAAGCATGGATCCTAGGTTTCAGTATGTCACTGCATCTTGTGGATCCCATACCCGCTATTGACAGTTGTTGTGTACTTGTCAATGACTTGTTCCATGATTTTGCAAAATGGTTGACTGGTGCCATGAAAACCATTTTTATGGTTACTCATGTATCAAGTGCTTAAGGTTAGGTTAAAGTGACAGTTTGCCTAAAGAGGGGTTACCATATTATTGTTTATCCAGTTTTAAATAGATACAATTTCAAATTATACATCTACGTTTAAGTAAAGTTGTGAATTTTTATGATCCTTAGCAAAGTGTGAGTAGTATATATTAATATGAAAAATATTGAGTATTTTTTAACGTCTTTTGATTAGCATATATTGTGTGTCCTCCGGCTCTGTATAGTAGGGATTTCAAATCTCTTCACAATGCGATCATATCAAACTACTGATTTATTCAAGATCTTGCACATAATAAAACAATGATTCATATTACACTACATAACTGATTAGCATGGGTAAAGTGTCCTCCTCCCTTGTACACCAGGTTAATCAGACTATTCATAGAGGGTTATGACCATGTAGGTCTGGAGGACTGACTCTACTTATGACAAAGTCACCAGACCACCAGCAGGTGCTCCTTCAGAGAATAAATCTTTATCATCACTTAACTCAAACAGTGTCTTCTGTTACAGGCTGAGAGACATTCTTGAAGGCCAGCTCACTGAGATTGTTCTCAGAACCAGCAGGATATTGACATCTTCCAAACAGGATTAGGTGAGTTGATCTGTTACAGTTCCTGCAGTATTGTGCTATCTCCCAGCATCGTGGTCTCCTGTGGGGGGTAAACATAGTTATCATGTTATATGGTATGGTTGTATCAGTGGGTAAGGTTACAAACTGAATGATTGAAAAATGATTGGTAAGCATCACAGGGGGTGTGGGTAGCCTCGTTGTGGGAGTGTTTGGTTGTGGTGGATAAGCAGAGATTCTGTCAGTACTTCTTGTGGAATTGCTTTTTTGTCTCTTCAAAACTGTTGTATGGTGCCATATGAGATGGAAGGGCTAAGACCAAACTTTCTCATCCACCCATTTCACTGGGGGCGATGGGGTAGCCTAGTGGTTAACATCGAAGACCCGGGTTCGAATCCCCACATGGGTATAATGTGTGAAACCCATTTCTGGTGTCCCCTGCTGTGATATTGCTGGAATATTGCTAAAAGCGGCGTAAAACTAAACTCACTCACTCACTTATCCACTGCTGCAGCTATCCAACCCATTACTTTTTCACTTGCCAAGTAACTCACTCACACATACCCATCAACAGACAAACGCTCAACATGTAACCCTGTCACACATCAGCTCATTCACCATCATTAACTCATCATTCCTTCTCCCATACAGTTACTGGATGATGTCAGAAAACAGAGTTGTGCATGGTATGGGCAGGAGAAGTACAAACATTGTAATCATATTGTGTAGAATTAACATGGATCATCCAATACCAGAATGCAACACATCCCGTTATCAGTCAATGAGAAAACAGCAATCTGTTTGTTGGAAGATGAATGCAAAACAATTGCTTGGTTGGTCAATCAAATGCAACTAATGCCATGGAATTGTTTGCAGTTATTTCCCTTTTTATACAAGCACTTGGATACCTGAAGAAGAATCCAGCATTTGTCTATATTTTATATCAGCATTGTATTATATTTAGAACTGAATGTGGAGAATGTTATACAAGATGCATATGGAAGTAGATCTTTGCCAGAAGTAAGCTCCCATTGCAATACTGTGTGTAAAAACATCCCAAACATTTGATGTACCTGCGGCAAATGTTTGTGTATAACAGACAGAATGTATATATCAGTAGATACAGATCTATGTTCCTGTTCTTTATGCAAGATCTTGGTGTCTGGCATTGCATGACTCCCATTCTTTGAGGGATCTGTTTTGTCTGGAGCAACAGCCATGGTGGTAGACTAACACTTAGTCTCTGGAGATATGTGCAGTAAACTTGGACAAGTACTGTGACTATGTGTCCCAGTCCACCCAGATGTGAATGGGTACCTCGTAAGGATGGGAAAGCCACATTAACTCGGTGCGCCTAGTGGCTGCATGAGTTGTATGCTCCCCAGGGAGTTGAGATTGAAAATACGATGTGCCGTTGAGATTGACATCCAATGATCGAGGGGAAAAAACAAAGCCCTTTGAGCATGCATGTAGATGGGATGGACTGTAACACTGTGTAAATATCCATATAATAATAATAATATGTAAATTTTTCCTTATCCTGACTCATGCTCTTTTGCTTGTCTTCTTCTTCTTGCGAACATAGTGGAACACTTGTATCTCCTTATTTGAAGCTCCCTTCAAAATAAAATCACTAATTGGTACTCACCACGAGTTGCTCCCCTTTGTCTCCCCTGGCGGGAAAGGTGTCGCCACCCTCTGGCCATGTGCTTCACTCTCTCCTTCTGAGCCCAGTGAGCAGGATGTGAGAGCCTTGTGTGTCTCCTTACACACCATATCCTTAGATAATCTCTTAGTTTTACCTCTCATAGGTTACTATAGAGGTATAGCTAGTATCCTTTACTATTTGTATTGATTAATTATCGTATTTCTACTCGTTTATTCAACGTGTATTCGTGGATTGTTCAGCTAGCTTTATGTTGATGAAAATCTGTACGCATTTGTAGATTACGCTTTTTCTGCCTCCGATCCACATGTAATATGCCCTAGTTGTTCTATCGCGTGTCGCGTTTAATTCATCGCTGCAGTTACTGCATTAATTTATCTCATTCTGCATTTAATAAATATCATCTTTGGCGTCTTAAGACGTGCTGCAGATAGATCACGCAAACAAGGGCAAAACATGGCAGAGAGTCCAGATATTCCATCCAGTCAGCTGCTAGCGATCGACCCTCCCCGCCTGGTGTTCTGCTAGAGACCCCCGCGCAGAGGAACGTGGGACGCAGTCCGTTACCTCGAAGAAAGCGACCGGCCTCCCCAGACATCCCGCCATTGCAGACCAAGTCTAAGAGGGCCTCATCGCCGCCTCAACGCAGATTGAGGACACCCAGGGCAGCGCAGACTTCCAAAGGAAATCCCACGAAGACAGCAAGAACTTTCTCAGCCGAGATCGCTCCAGCAGCAGAATTGGGCCTCTACGATGATCAGCCGATAATCATCCCCGACTTCTACGCAGAAGAAGCGACCGGTGTCAGCGACTGTGACTTCTGCAGAGATCACCATGCAGCCTGATGCCTCTACACCGACGCCAGACGTCATTGATGTGAACCCCATCGCAGAAAAAAGACGCTTCGGCGGTGATCGCCACAGATCATCCCAGAAGACATGATGCGCAGTTTATGAACATCATGGAGGACCACTACAAACCGCGCTAGCAGGGTCCGAGCCAGCGAAGGCTCCAACGTGAGACAGCACCCCAGAGGCACCCCCGTCAACGTAGCAGCCAAGACGATGTCACCTTCAAAGGAAGTCCCGCACCACCTTGGACGGCGGACCTAGATGTACAGCTCAGCGCGAAGGCCTTCGCGGGCGGGAGATCATCACCATCTTTGATTTCATCTCTAGATATGGACTCAGACCATCAGACATCACGGAGGCCTTCGCTGGCTGTCATATCATCGATCCCCGGACCGACGCGCAAATGAAGCCGCTAAGGCATTCGCGAAGGACATATGATTCCAGATCCTCATCATCTAGAAGAACATCGAGGGACTGCCAAGAGCTTCGCTAAGCTATCAACATTCACCTCACAAGTCTCCTCGAAAGATCATCCCATAGACGACTCTCCACTTCGCTCATCACCAGGCCGATCACCTGTCAGATCTCCACATAGAGCGCGACAAGTCAACTAGATCGCCACAAACCTCATCAGATATACAGACAGCTACACGAGTCCCGAAGAGCATCTACAATTTGTTAATGATGATGGTTTGAGGATGATGGAGGAATCATATTTTCTGATGCAGAGATACGGTATTGGATGGTCAATAACCTAGATCTCACATCACCATCTAAAAGTGGCAATACAGCGCAGGCGTATTTGATGAAGGAAGATGATCCAGATGCAATCACTCTACCCCGATCGACCCGATTATGGCAATGCCACAGAATCTAGATGCAGCTTTCCAGAAAGCTCACGAAAGTTCAGATACCACATCTGCCCAACTTTCAAGCCAAGAAGTTCTCCGCGATAACATGGACTCCTTCTACAAGGCCCAGGACATCGATGAGAACTATAAGATCATCAGCGACGAAGAACAAGATTTACAAGATGGATGATCGCAAGTTGGCTCATATAGAAACCATGACGAGGAGACGTATGTTCTTTGGGTTAAATAGATCTAGGACGATCAATGAGACTCTTATTACTAGATTCCGGGATTCCACGACGGAAGATGATAGAATGATTTATTCTGCCTTACTTATGCAAAAGAAAGATCAGCAGTTTTAACGGATCATCTTACATCTGTTTCAGCAGCACTGACCTTAGCTCGTCGTCAAGGCCTCCTCCTCGCCTCCTGTAATTGGGGAGAACTTACAGCCCACTTTATACAGCCCGTGGTCGACAACATCCATCTTTGACGGAGAAATCGACAAAGTAAGCCAAGGAAGTCTCTAAGGATTCCAGGGAAGTCCTTATGATTAGATCGATGGACACACTAGCCAGCGTCATTCGTCCAGACTTCACAAAGATACTCAGGCAGATCTAAGTTCACGGGCCTACAAAGAGCAAGAGACAGGAAGATAGCCAGCTCTAGAGGTAAAGATTCTTTTAAATTAAGCCCATATGGCAACTATAGAGGAGGATCAGGAAGAGGCAGGACACCCAGAGGTTCCCGCAATTATAGGCGCTGAAACACAGGTTCGAGGACGACTGAGTCTTCCACCCCAGCCGTTCCAGTACAGCCAGCTCAAGTGGGTGGGCCTTCAACCACACTGGGAAAACTGGGGAATATTGCAAGACCCTTACGTCTCCAACATTCTTCAACACGGATTTCGTATCCCTCTACAGGCCAAGCCTCGCTGACAATCAAACCCCCAAGTTGATTTACATAAGCGCCCAACAACTACCAAAGATAAGAGAGGCTGTTTCATCACTCCTATCCAAACAGGCCATAGAAGTAATAGATCAAGCAAACGTCGAACCAGGTTTCTACTCCCCAGTTTTCCTAGTTCCCAAGAAAACTCCACGGAGAAAATACAGACTCATCTACAACATGAGCTTTTTCAACAAGAACTATCTACGCAAAAACCAATCGAAGTTTCGCATGATACATTTACCTCAGTTACGCCAGATGATTAGGCCCTATGGACTACATGGGCAGCATAGATCTACAGGATGCCTACCTGCACATCCCCATTCATCCCGATTCCAGGAAATACCTACGATTTACTCTAGAAGGGCTACATTACCAGTGGAAAGTACTCCCATTCGAATATCATCAGCCCCTGGCTATTCAATGAGGATAACGAAACCGATTATCAAATTTCTACATCGTCAAGGGGCTCGCGAGTGCTTTTACCTCGACGACGGGATACAAGTAGATCAAGATCCACTGCGTCTCAAACTACAGTTAAATTACATCATAAAGCTACTAACACAACTAGGTTGGTTAGTAAACTTACGCAAGTCGGACCTAGTGCCATCGCGAAGACCTGCAGTTCCTAGGTATTCGATTCATCACAAATCGCGAACCGTGATATTATGGTACCAGAAGACCGTTGGCTCAAGATACAGCAGACCA